TTAAACAGCAATGCTGATCACAATGTTAGATATAATTCCTTTTTTTATTTAGTGTTTACCATGATAAAACAAGATGAAACCAATTGATAAAAACAGAAGTTTTGTTCTTTATTCCTCAGTCTGTTCACATGGTTATCATCTAATTTGTAGTGACGACAGTTAAGGAACACTCTTTTGAAGTATGATCCACCGGATTCCAATCTCACGATGAAAGATTTTCCAAAAGATCGACTGTCCATAATTTTGTATGTTTTTCATTTCAAAATTGTTGTGTTCAAAGTGTCTTATATAGTGTGTTATCAACTGGGGTTAAATTTTGGCCCAAAGTGTTTAAGTGGTCGAGCTTGAGAAATGGTAAAGCTACATTTTTTTTCAAAAGTACACATATTTGATCAACATCTCATAAAAGAAATACACGTTATATTAATAACAATAAACAGACACCTAGTGGTTTTAAAACATTGGAAGTCACATGTAGTTATGAACTAGCTTTTTTATTTGATAAGAACAAGTAGACATATCGGTTTCATGCCTTTTTTCATAACAATTTCTACATACAAACAGAAACACTTGGTAAGATTTAATAGGACATATAATTAACACGGACAAACAAATGTCTATCTTGTTTTATCATATAACAATGCACACGGTTAAAAGATATAGCATACTCCAGATATCACTTTAACACTACCAATTGGATTTTATTAAGTTTTGCTTTTTCCAAAAGTTGTCTAGATTAAACTAGAGGCTCCTACCGTCGACGACTAATTGACAGTCATATCGAAATATTGATAGCTCTGTATCCATATTAATCTTTCTTATTGGTTTGAAATTTTGTTTTTAAGTGTCCTTTGTTCTTTATAATGTTTCAAGAAAAAGAAAAAAATCCCCAAAGTGTTTTATTCATTCTTTGAAGAAGTTAAACATGTCCTTTCTCAGTGGTATGTTTGTAAACAGGAGATAATCTTCACTCTACCTTTTCACATGTTTCAATATTTTGTTATGATTATTTTGTTTCACGCACTTGTGTGAGTGCGGATCTCACCATTGTATTAAATAGCTGTTTAAAGGTTATGTCGTCTAATTGTATCAAACATTTTTCCAAGTAAACTGTTTGCCTGCCTTGTTGTATATATGTTATAATGTTAATGTTATAAATTAGCTAGTTCAAAGGTGGAACAATCTAATGATAACTAAAGATATGATTATGTATATGATTTTCCATGATAACATTTAATCTATGCATTTTTTTCAAAGGTATCTGTTTAAACTTTCGTTTGTTTATATTTTGTCATAGTGTAACAGGGATAGTGCGCCGATTGTCCATGTATATACTTCGTACTCTGAGTAATATACATTTTAACTACAACGTCCGCGTGTTGTATTCTATGCTGTGATGTTATGTCTACATGTGTATTGTGGTGTTTTGCTCGTTTCGTATGTTGATACGTTGGTATACCATACATTTGTTCATTGGTCAGTGTTACGTCAAGTTGTGTACGCCTTTCCATTGGTTCGTTCTGAGTGGTCAGTTTTGGCGTGTGTTTCTTTGTTAGTTGGACTCAAAGGTGACGGACGTAGAGTTGTAATGTTAGTGTTTCTTTGTCTTTGTGTAATACCCAATGTATATGTATGATGTGTTTTATTAGAGTGATAGTTCTATTTGGATATAATCTAAGTAAGGATAATTTATGATTTGTTAGATAAGAAATTATATATGATTATTTTATTTTTTATATACAAACGTAATAATGAAGGTCATGTAATTTGATTTTTTTTGTAAAAGGCGTTGTTACGTTGTGCTCATTTGACTAAGGTTCGATAAATTTATTCAAATGGCTGTATTTAAATTACAGTATATCGCATTTGATTGAAAAAGGCGTCGTACGTATAGGTTGTAGCCACGGCCTTGTGCCACACGCAGGTATGCTATAGCGGTTTTATGTCAAAGTATAAAGTAATTGTCAAAGTCAAATCTTGTGGGTTTTTTATTCAGCTTTTTTTCCATAATCACATTTCTACACATAATTGATTTGCATAACATGGTAAACATGAACATCAAAAATGTTAAATAATCTAAATATTACATGAAACTAGTACAATGCAATATAATTGATGAATATATTAGAAGATCGAGGGTTTGTTTCTAATCTGGACTTTTCTAATCACAAGACTTAATTGAATAATTTATTGATAAAATTCCACAATTTTTTATCTTTCTTTGTTTGTTGTAGTGATAGTTACATGTATGGAGACCCATGTCTTCTATATTGTTATAATAATTAATATATATTTTGCTTTCAGCAATAGTTGTAATTGTATTTTTTAATTTACACAAATATATATAGTATCTCAAAATAAGTAATACAAAGTTGATTTCATCTCTGTGTTTTTTCTGTTACACCACAAATGAAGACTGTTGGGTGTCTAGATACGGTAATTTGGTACTTATTTTCTAACATATCTATCAGCAACAACCAAAATGTTTTGACTGTACTACATTCCCAAAATAGATGTGTAATGATGTCTTTTTCATTTGTACAAAAAGTCCATCTCTCAGTTTCAATTAATTTTGAGCTGGTATAAACAGTTCTGTGCACAATNGATACATACACATACATGTAAGTATCTGGTATTACATAGTAAACATAAATATCACAAATGTATATCATGAATCTAGTATAACGTAATATAATTTATGAATATATAAGAAGATCGAGGGTTTGTTTCTAATCTGGACTGTTCTACTCACAAGACTAAATTGAATAATTTATTGATTAAATTTCATTTTTGTTTTATCTGTCTTTGTTTGTTGTAGTGATGGTTATGGAGACCCATGTCTTCTATATTGTTATAATAATTAATGTTTTTTTTTTTGCTTTCAACAATTGTTGGAATTGTATTATTTAATTTACAAAAATACATATAGTATCTCAAAATAGGTAATACAAAGTTGATTTCATCTCTGTTCTTTTTCTGTTACATCAAAAATGAAGACTATTGGGTTTTTCGATAAGTTAATTTAGTACATATTTTCTAACAAATCTATCAGCAATAACCAAAATGTTTTGACTGTACTACATTCCCAAAAAGGTTTGTAATGATGTCTCTTTCATTTGTGCAAAAATAGATCTCTCAGTTTCACATAGCTTATATTTCATTAATTTTGAGTTGGTATACAAAATTCTGTGCACAATATATACTGTTTTGTATCATTAGTAATCTCCCTTGTTACGGAGTTGAACAATTCTCATCACTTATATTACTATGGTAATAATAGGATATATTTGATTCAAAAATATATATATATATTTCTAGAAGAATCTCCTAGAAGAGATGAAAGTACTTAAGACTCGTTGTTAAGAATTTTTTTTTTATAATATTTCTTCGTCCGTAAGGATCATTTTTCTGATTCATAATATATATATATATATATATATATATTGTTAATATACAGGTATGATTTAGGTATTAAAACAAAAAACACACATGCTAAAATCGCACTTTCCGCTTCCAATTCTGCACCCTTTCAAGAACGATTGCGGTTTACTTACAGTTATCCATAACACCGATACCAAACACAAGCTGCCGCCCCTTTCCACTCTCTCCAAGTGCAAGGAACGACAACTCTGGACAAACAATTGCATAAAGCATTCATCGAAACATGAAAAGTATGTTGTCTTGTAATAGCAAAAAGCAATAATGGACCAATAAAAAGATATTTACAGTTTTTGTCTTACCTTGTTTGTACATAATTGATGAACAAGATCACCGTTTCTATAATTACAAATTAAAAAACTTCATCGATTTCCTGTCGACTCTGAGTTTTACTATGAAAAAAAATGTTATCGATTCTTTTTAATTACCGCACTTCGTCTCGGTCAAAACACACACAAAAAATAAAAATAACAAAATCCACAAACTATTACTTACGTAGTTCATCTTTGCTTTTGTTACAAGTTCAACAAATAGATAATCTTTTCTGTAAACAAGTTTATATTTTAAGCGTTATGATGGCGGCATGTCAGTCCGAGCCTTCAGTAGAGCGCTTCCATTACCTCATCATTGTCCAGGAGACTACCACGTCGGATGATGACGTTGTTTTTACCCTCGCTGCCACCTGGGAGACGGTTCACTGCAGTAAAAAGCATGCACGCTGTTTTTTCCTCCGACATTTTTAGCTTTTGAAAAAAAAATCCCGTACATTAGTTTCAGTGACTCTGGGTTTCTCCTGTAGGGTACCGGCGATTCCCATAATCACCAAATTCCACTTCTGGGACCACATATCCAATTTTAGCCGTTCGTGCTTTAAGGTTGTTTCACTAAAAAAATATGGATGCGTATGAAGGACTTTAGGTATTTCCGGACAATTTATGATGTATTATCGACAAAAATACACAGGAGACGTTACTCAACTTCTCTACTCCACAGCCATGATATGGACTTCAAAGTCAAATCTTGAGTTTGATTGTATTTCGTAAAAGTTGTAATTGCTAGATTTGTAAGGGTAAAAGTTATGTAATCGTGTAAGAGTTATTTCCCTTGTATTTGTAATTGCATTATGTATGTCTGTTTCATATCTATGACTGTAACTTGTACTTTGTACTTGTTGCGGGGTTGTTCTGGTTCCACAACACTTGCCATACACTTATTGAATAAACTGTCAGTGAAAAAAAACAGAGGAGTTGACCTTATCTTTCACATCGAAACCACATCTACTACAATAGTTTCACTGATTTTGATTTGAATAACGATTTTTTTCTCATTTTGGTATTATTGGTCCTGTGCTAGGATATACTCTAATTGTGGCGACAAAAAAACCCGAATATTTAGCTTCGTACTCGCTGATATGTAGCGTTACATGTGAAATGCCATCCATCATGACGTCACAAGAAATATACCATGACGTCATCAATCCCTTTCAACGGCAAATTTAACGACATCATCCTTTGAATTGTTTATGGTTGAATAATCACAAAATGTGGTATTATTCTTGCATGTGTTTGATAATCATAGGACACATTAAATATTTAACTTTTTCACACTCCACACGAGATCACATGAAATCGGAACTGTTTTGAAATCTTTACGTGTGTGAGATCCTGCATGCATTTGTCTTGCAATAGTTCCTATTCAGTAATTCTGTAAACCTAGAGAGACTTAGATAAGTAAAGTGACTATGGATTCCTGGTTTGTTCTTAAATATTTATCTAATATCGTATCAAAATTTCTCATTGAATTACATTTGCACTTATTTGCTATTAAATCTGTACAACTCGAGTGACGTAGACTCCTGGAAAGAAGTGACCACGAACTCCTGTTTGGTTGGATGGACTACTACACACCACGGGTGATTGATAGTAGATAGCATGGACACCAGTACCCTCCCACGTGATCCGTCAGGTGAAACAAGGCGAACATATCCAGAACTACATCCACATACATATGCATTGTCATCCTGGTCCAGTCCAATACCTGTAGGATCCCTCATACTAGGATCTCTGTACCTGTAGACCTCTGTGTCACTGTCCAGTCGGCTACACACTACGTCATTGTCATCTGTGTGATACACAGTGGCACTAGAATGAGCTGTGGCGAGGTATCTGTACTTTCCACCCTTCTGTATTGACTTGGTCACCTCCCCATCTACTGTCATAACCTCCACCCAATTATTCGTATTAACCAGGATGTTGTCCCCGAGAACTGCTATACCCCATGTGGTAGATGGACAGCTGATCTTGCTGATCAAGGTTAGCTGACCATTCCTAAATTCACACTTCAGTATTCCTTCTTCCAATACAGCGACAAACACCTCATGATCGACACGTCCACGTACTATATCTTTTGGATATCCGCCAATGTTAAATGTATTCACATAGGAATACGTGTCATCAAACAGTAGGAGTCTTTTGTTGCTGTAATCTGTCATCAGTAATTCATTGTTGTCAGTAAAGATACCCCCCATCAACCAAGGTGTATCTGACCTTCCTAGTGTACTACTGTCTACCGTCTTTACACAAGATACCGATCCTGTCCATACATCAACCGCTGACTTTACTGGAGTTGTCTGGACGGTGGAATACTGCAGTGAACCCGTGAGGTCGGAGGTCGAAGTCGAGTCTGCTAATGTTGAAGCTGAAGGTGTCGAGAGCAAGGTCTCAATCATTGTGCCAATACATACATTCGCGTTATGAGATACAGCTGATATTGTCGAGGTCACGTCAATATTCCCCAAGGTTGTCATTTTCATGATTTCGTCAATTATTGTTCCTAACTCGAGTGTGATGTCAAATCTATTCGGTTGTTTGTTTGTGTTTTGATCCATACGACGGTAATGTCCTGATATTTGACTTTTTGTTTGTTCTCTTATGAAAAACTTGTGACGTTCTGATATATGTTGATCTAAATGAGACATCAACAAATGTGAATTTTCTGCATTGGTGTGGAATGTGTTGACACACATCCGTCTAGAAGATAGCTTTTGTCTGAGCGCTTTGCACTTATCCGCGAGGTCTGACTGGTATGTTGCGTTGAGGTTATCAAGCTTATCTTTAGCTTGCTGTATCCTGTTCGTCATTTTTGCCGATAATTCGTTTTCTATGGAGGTAAGCAGGGTCATCCCTAAGTCGTCATCGTCTAACATCTTCTTAGTTTCCTCTCTCAGCTCCTTCCATTCTGTCTCCCTGGTGTGTTGTCCGGCCTTAGTCTTCCTGACCACATCCTCTATTGGTTTAATATTGCTACAATGCCTGTGTGACACCGATACACAGACACTACAACACATAGCGCTATGGTCTACACAATAGACATCCAACTGCTTTCGATCGTGTCTGGGGCAGATTTCGTCGACCATAACATCGCAGATTCCGCCAACAACAGTGGAAACGGATACAAGCCGATGTTTTGATGATGCTTTGCTCCGCTCATGAGATATTCTGCATTGTTTGCAGAGCTTTTCACCACAGTCTGTACACCAGACCTCGGCTGGATTGGATTCTTTGCCTCGTTGACATGGTGCACAGAGATGAACATCAGACGTCTCTGCTGTTATAGGGTTAAGGTACAAATTATTTATTGGGAAACATTCCGCCCATGTACTTACATCCGTACTGACGTCACGAGGAGCACTCGGTGCATCGCAGACCGGACACGGGAAGTAGTGCCGATCCTCGTCTGCTGTGACGTGTTCCGCTTCGATGTATGACGTCAGACATCGGTAGCAGAAGGTATGACCACAGGGCAGCTTCCTCGGTTCTTTGTAAGGTGTCGTACAAATCAAGCATCTGTATTCTGGTATCGGGGCAGCTTCTGCCATGTCCGTAATGGATAGTGTTATGCTGTTTTCTCTGTAATATACAAAACAAGTATGAAGCTACATGTTTTCAATATATTTTCGCTATCATACATCGTGAGATATGGTCATAACAGGCTGACATTCGACATTCTGTAAAAGTTAATAATGTAAGCAGGAAAGCTTAATTATGGTGTGACACAATCCGCTGCTCAATTATGTATTCATACAAAATATACACTGTTGCAACGTATACATTCCAATGACGTCACGCTGTTGACAGCTTTTCCGAGCCTGCTGGCATGTCAGCTGTATATATTGTATGATATTAACATTTGTAATTTTGTGTGATAATGTAACTAATATTAATCAAAATCGAAAGCAAATGCAGTTTGACGATAATGCTCGATATATTTATTTGCTAAAAAAAATGCCTTTTATTCTTTTCGGTGACCAATATTCATTGTCGCGATCTACTGTCATGGTAACGTGAGAGCGATATATTTCTAGAGCCCATCAAGTTAAATCTATTGAAATAACCAGAGATATGCAAGCTACTCGAGAGCTCCAAATATTCGGTGCAGCATTAATTTATGCCTAGAGCATTTGATAGACCGATATACGTAATAAATGATTAAGCAACAGGAGCGTGAAAAAGAACGGCAAGACCGGGACTCGAACCCGAAAGTTCAGACCTCTAGATACACGATAGCGTATAACATCTTTCATTGGTATATTTAGCTGGCACCAAATGTAATAGGAGAGGAAAGTGCACTGTCAGACTCGAACTCGAATTTGGGACCTCCGAACTCTAGACGAACACGCTTTCCAATGTCTCTACCGTTTGATCTAAGATGTTTCGGACAACTTAATTAATCCATTAACATATTGAGCTAATTGACGGCTAATTAGTCCTTGCTTACAATATTGGTGATGGATTTATTTTTATCAATTTTTAAAATTAAAAATGTTGTTTCTGTAACTTCCCTTTTGTTTTGCACTGGGTGATTACAAAAAAACGTTTTAACGCTACTATGTCCTGTCACCTCAGGATTAACATTAAGGTACACCGTATACCGTATGTAAGGTCAAACCACTTTGTCCTGACTTACTTGTTTTCCAGGGGAGGTAACTCGTCGAATAGTTATAATTACATTGTTGTGAAATTTCTCGTAAATATCGACTTACCAATCAAATTATGTATTTTGCGAAATTAATCAATGCAATGAACATATTCATATGTTTGAATGTCAACAAAAACATCATTAACAGTATGAATTCATTAAAAAGTCACCTTGTTGGCAGCTGACGTCACGATATCGATGACAATATCGTTTCGAATGTCTGTGAATGAAATTTGATGTCGGCATTTCCTTGTTGCCGGGCAATCCAGGAAACTGTTACAGAAAGAAATAAAAGTTATTTTTCTTCTGTCAAATGGAAATATAATTTATGTGCCATGCCCCTCCCTGACATTGGATTTTCATTTTACTTTTTGTCTTCGATAGGTTGTTAATGCAGTCGATTGTGAGGCATAAGTATTCTTTGAAACTCTTCATGTTTCAAAAAAACATTTAAACTACCGAGATCCCTTAGCGATGAAGTCTCTTGATTATTTAAGAAACGTTGATATTTCATGTTACTTGATTAGAATGAATTGTTAAAACCAATGTATTTTGTAAGCAGGTAATAAAGAATTAATTTCTGTATTTTAATAATATCACAAGACGCTCAGTTTGTATAAATCCTAAGTTTACAAAATCGAAACAGATATAGTGAAATACATTACTGTGGTGTGTATAGGTGTAACTAGACAATGATGTTGTACATATATATAGTTGAATTGTACATGTGTGTACATACATGTTATATAATCACACAGGTGAACATATATGTAGTTAAATTATAAATGGCTGCTCATACATGTTATATGACTTTACTTGAGAACATGTATTTCGTAAAATTGTGCATGTGTATACATACATGTTATTAAACAATACTGGTGTACATATATGTAGTTAAATTGTACAAGTGTGTACATACATGAATTAACATGATACTGGTGAACATATATGTAGTTAGACTGTACATTTGAGTACACACATGTTATATATTAACACTGGTGTAGATATTTGTAGTTAGATTGTACATGTGTATGCATGCATGTTATATGACAATAATTGTGTTTATATTTGTACTTCAATTGTACAAGTGTTTACATGTATGAAGTTAATTTGTACGTACATGTTATATGACCATACTGGGAAACACATATGTGTAGTTAAATTGTACATGTGTGAACATAAACGTTATATAACTATAGTGGTGTAAATATATGTATTTAAATTGTATATATGTGCACATAAACGTTATATAACTATAGTTTTGTATATATTTTGAAATTGTACATTGTATTTATAGATGTTTTATAACTATACTAGGGTATATATGTGTAGTTTTATTTTACATGTTTGGACATATATGTTATATAACTATACTGGTGAACAAACATAATCTGCTTGATTATTTGTTGTGATATGTACGTGTCCACGTTTCTGGATTGAAAGGAGGGCAGCTTGCAGTGTCGGTATTACTGCTTTGCTTATATACTGCTGTACAGTAATATGTCTATCTACATTTACAGACATGTGTACATATATGCACCTTATTATACTTGTGTTTGCATACACACATTAACATTGTACTGGTATGTCTATCTAGGTAACAGTTTTGTACTGGCTGAACTTGTACAGATGTGTCATCATGTAGCTTTATGTTTTTATATGCGCATACATATGTTACAAAGTTTATAAGTTTTGTTTTGTTTTTTTCCCTGGATGTGCACATGATATAATGCAACGCTTATACCTTTCGTGGATTGTGATGCATACTGCAGTTAAGATATACATATGACTATCATAATTATTTTTCTTAAACGAAGGAATTGTGCCCAGATCATTAATCATTCCATGGGAGGTAACTCGTAAAATAATTATGATCTTATAATTGTGAGGCTACCAAGCAATTACAGCCATATTTGGGAAGAGAGCATCTGTCTGAATAGAGTGACCAGTGTTCAGAGGAAGTTAAATTGTATAAGTTACATATGTCGTTTGTTGTACGATTGTATATCGATTTAAGGTGATACTGATCATAAAGGCTAAAGAGAAACAAATGTAACATGAAAACACTAAAATATAGTGCTTTTACTTAAAAACACATGCCTGATTAAACTTGAATTGTAGAAACACTATCACAAAACATTATGATAGATTATGATAAGTCATATTTTTAGACAAAACTTAATATTTTGTTCCAACTTTCGGTTTGTGTAAACTTACCATTGATTTCGAATTCCTTTCAAATTAATCGAAACAAGAAACATATTTACAAGTGTGAATGGCAACGAAAACATGATTTACCATACGAATATTTAGTAACTTACCTGTTTCGCTGCTGACGTCACGACATTGGTGATATATTCGATGTTTTGGTGAGAAAGTGATCTTATGTCTTAGGCGTTTCCTGGTTACCATGGACAATACGGACGATAACTCTAAACTTTCTATATGTGTCACTTTGTCATACTTCATTTATATATTATGTCTGCTATCACGATTATAAGTCCCGCATTCTACATATTTTTACCCATATACCCAATACCTTACATTTTCTGTACATTCTTTTGTTTTGTTCGTTCTTACAAGTGTTTAAATACATAGAATTTAAAAGATGTACTTATTTTAAACATGTGTTTTAGAGTGGTAAATTTGTTTTGAAATTATCCCAGTAAAAAATAACTTCCGGTCATAAAATTAAATTTCAAAATATTTTATTGACAAAGATGTTAAATTGTCAAAGGGTTTGGGCTATGTCAGCTCTCTCCATATAAATAATCCACAGGTGGCAACACATGTACATGTAATTATATGGTTATTATTTATTTCAGTAGCCAATTAATTAGGTGTCAATGTACGTAAGGCTTATCAACGATTATTTTAAATGAGAACTATATTGTGAGGTGAAAATTACAATAAACATATATACATAGGTTATATATCTAGCATATCACTATAGAATTTATTTCTTGAATTAAAAAAATAAATGTTGTCAATAGATAATTCTTGGCCAGCCAGATCGAAAAGTTTGCAGGCCACACAGTCCATGGTTACAATTAAACCCACAAAAACTTGGCGCTTGCCGGCAGATTGAACACTTAACTATACTGAACTATATATACTACTGTAACATACAATAGTTTTATTTTTGTATTTTCCATTTTATATGTAATAACAGTAGTTGAAATAATTCGGAGCTGCACACGTATCAATAACAAAAGAGCTGGATCTCAAAACCCATATACAAAGTTGTAATACACCATAATAATAATGATAATGCAGAGATATTAAGGAAGTTTCTATTGTTATAAGAAACCAGAAAACTTCAGGAAATCCTCTAGTGTTTTTGTTATACAAATATATGCTTTGTTATTGAGATATTACTTCATCATCACACAGCATATAGCCATGCCATAGTCTGATAAATTAAAAGTGATCATGAAGTCTATCATTCTGAATGCTTTCTCTTAATAAATCGTACGCATCAATTAAATAGTAATAATATACAATATTTGATATAGCGCCCTATCTAGCTAGAATAAGTCACTATAAAGCGCTTTACGGTACATAGATATACAATTTGTACAATCAATACAATTAAGCATATACATTAATCAATACATGTTTTGGGGAATTCGCAGGAGTTGCATTTTCAGGTGCTAACTACTAGTCCATTGCCTCCTGGCTAATATCTCCCTATGTGTGTGTATGCCTGAGTGTGTGCTGAAGATGTATTGTGTTCTGTTAAAATGATCATGAAGTCTATAATTCTGAATGTTTTCTCTTGATAAATCTTTTTGTCTGTAACAAATTAAGGGCAGTAGAAAAAAGACAGTGTCGTGCAGTTTCTTGTGTAAAGCCACAGTCATAGGTAGGATAGTCTTTCAAGTGATCTTTACATAAATCATAATTAAGTCGACATGTAATAGCATTAC